TGGTCTACTTCCTGGATCAGGTCCTGCAGAAATCTCCCCTGCCAGAAGGTGAGGGCCAGGTCACTTCCTGGGGCTCTGGTGCTCAGAGGAGACACAGGGTGACATGCCCCGGTCCAGCCAGTTTGCTGGGGATGTGAGGACACATCAGCGGGATGCAGGTGTGCATGGCCATCAGCCCATCTCCACTGCAGTCCAGCAGTGCAGTTCCTGGTGTCTGGGAAGCCTCGACCAGTGTGGTGGTAGGGTGGAGAGCCAGAAGAATTGTGTCCCTGGATGTATGGGGACACGCAGTGGCAGGGAGGAGTCCTGCTGTCCCCAGGCTGGCTCAGCTGGGCTGTTACCTCCCCATGTCACCTCACCTTTCCTTGGCAGTCTTTGCTGAGGGACCTCCCCACCCTTCGTGCTGGCATCCCAAGCCACTGGGCATGTGGCTCTGCAGGTCTGCCTGGCCCCAGGAGGCCCAACATGAGCACCCTCCTGCCCAGAGCCAGCGAGTGCCTCGGATGCTCCCAGAGCTGGGGGTGCTGGAAGGCTAGGGGAGGGTCCAGGGCTGGCCCGAGGCTGGGAGCATCCCAGAGGATTTGCAGCACAGCCAGGATGGGCTCACAGGGTCCCCTCAGAGCGCAGGCTGGGAGCTGGAGGGAGAGTCCCTGCGGAGATGGCGACGATCCCCCCTCTCGCAGGCAATGTGGAAAGGCTGAGCAAGATGTACCCAAAGATCTCCAAGGCCCAGAACGCTGAGCTGCGACTCCGCTGGTGCCAGATCGTCCTCAAGAACAACCTTGAGGCCGAGTACAGCAAAGTCAAGGACTTCCTCCACAGCCAGGTTGGTCCCTGTACAGTGGTGGCTGCGCCCAGCAGTGTGCCATTGGGGGAGAGACTGGCATGGGGCACAGGACCTTCCATGCCAGAGGGCCAGGGGTTGATCCTTGCTCTTGATAGACCTACAGAAGGTTTGGGTTGGAAGGGACCTTCAGATATCATCTAGCCCACCCCCCCCGCCATGGGCAGGGACATCTTCTGCTAGATCAGGTTCCTCAAAGCCCCATCCAACCTGACCTTGAACACTTTCAGGGATGGGGCATCCACAACCTCTCTGGGCAACCTATTCCAGTGCCTCACCAACCTCATTGTACAATATTTCTTCCCTATGTCTAATCTAAACCCAAACCCACATTCTATCAGTTTAAACCTCCTCCCTTGTCTCGTCACTACAGGCCTTGGTAAAAGGTCTCTCTTCATCTTTCTTATAAGCTCCTTTATATATGGAAAGGCTGCAGTAAGGTCTCCCTGGAGCCTTTACTTTTCCAGGCTGAACAATGCCAACTCTCTCAGCCTCTCTCCATAGCAGAGGTGTTCCAGCCCTCTGCCCATTTCCATGGCCTCCTCTGGACCTGCTCCAACAAGTCCATATCTTGTCTTGTGCCGGGGGCCCCAGAGCTGGATGCAGTGCTCCAGGTTGGGGGCTCAGGAGAGCAGAGTAGAGGGACAGAATCACCTCCCTCAACCTGCTGGCCACGATTCTTCTGATGCAGCCCAGGATATGGTTGGCTTTCTGGGCTGCGAGTGCACATTGCTGGCTCGTGTCCAATTAGTCACCCACCGGTACCCCAAAGCCTTCTCCACAGGGCTGCTCTCAATCCGTCCATGCCCCAGCCTGTACTGAGAGTGGGATTGCACTTGGCCTTGTTGAACTTCAAGAACTTCTCATGAGCCCACTCATTCTCCAAGGTCAAGGTCTTCTCCCCTCTCCAGGTGCCATAGTCCCAAGGGCTGCCCATGGTGGCATTTTCCACTGTGTCCCCTTTGTGCTCTCTCCCTGGCCAAGAGCAGGGCGATGCTGGAGGTGTTGTGCCCTGCGAGGAGATGTGGGGCTCCTGGGGCTTCACCCCACTGGAGCTGGGGAGGAGGCTGGGGATGTAACCCTGCTCTGTCTCTGCAGGGGAAGCAGAAGTACACTCTGCCCCTCTACCGTGCCATGTGGGCTGGGTCAGAGTCTGCCCAGGCCCTGGCCATGGAGACCTTCTCTGCTACGGCCCCCCAGCTCCATGTCAATGTCCAGAACTACATCAAGAAGATCCTGGGCTTGGAGGTGGTGGAGGACTAGTGCAGCCTGGGCTCTGCTGCCTCCACCAGCTTTCCCTCTGGCAGGACCTCAGTGCTTTCTCCCTCACTGCACACATTTCCTTATTAAAGTTTGTAATTTTTTTTCTCTTTGTGCTTTTCCTGTTCTCAGTAATCCATGGGCAGCCTTAGCGTGACTCCCTGTCTTGCCCAGGAACCAGGCTGGTGCCCCAGGAGGGCACTCTGCCAGCCCTGGTCTGTGATGCGCAGGTCGCTCCTCCCTCTTCACACACCAAGGTGTCTACCCCCCCACCCCTCCATCACACTGGGGGCTCACTTTGGAGTCGGGGAAAGGGGTGCATTCCTGCTCTCCCACCAGCAGTCCCTCTCCTGGCGGGGGGGGGGCAGTGCTCTGCAGCAGGGCAGGCAGCATGCCAAGCCCCAACAGAGAGCTGCCACCAAACCAGCAGCATTGTGTGGGCTCCCATGCCTGCCCCCAGCTCCGTGCAGGCAGGATGAGGTGAAGGCACCCGGCTGCACAGTCCCTGGGGAAACCCGTGCCTGGTGGGAGCAGCCATTGGGGGGCTAAGGCCATCTTGTAAACCTGGACCTAAAACACAGGGACAACAGATTTCTGAACAGCAGCATCATGGATGGGGGGTCTCTGCCCCCTGCACAGCCTGACAGGCTTTTAGCTAGGCATCTTCAATTGGGAAATCAACCCCCTGCTCTGGTGAGCAGCCAGGTACTGACAGCAAATGCCACAAGCCCGAACAGGCACGGAGGTGATGCCGTGCGCTTACTGGGACCTGCTCTTTGCAGTTTGCTGGGATAAATCCCAGAGTGTGGACAATGGTGCAAGTAAAGCATGACTTGAGGGCTTTAAAGATCCAGTGTGGCCTACATATGGCGGAGACTGTAGGAGTAAGACAAAGCTAGACAGCCACAGTTACTTACTGTTTACCAAATGCAGGAATATGAGCATGCTCCCCAAAATTCCAGTACAAAACTGCCCCAGGGCTGCACTAACACCAATAACGCCAGTAACCTGCTGGCCATAAAGGCCCCCGAGGCCACCGTCCCAAAAGGATGCTCTGAAGTGGCAATAACGAGAACACCCAATGGCCTCAGAAAGCTCAAATAAACCCCACTGCATGTGCTGGCCCTGCTGCCAGGTCTGTGGCAGTAGCTCCTCCAACACCAGCTGCAACTGCCAGTCCTCCAGTCCTGTGATCCCTTAGGAAACCCAGGGGTGCCCTATGGGGCTGGCAAGGCTGTCCCTTTTGGACCCTGCATCCACCTGACCCTATAGGCCTGGCCCATTTCCCCCCGAACAGCCCTGGCACTTCTCTTCCCTCCTTCTCCCGAGACCCAGCCCAGGCCCGCAGGGCCAAACCGCACAGGGACCCACCACAGCCCCCACTGTGCTCCCAAGTGCAGGGTGGGGACAGCTCAGGCCCCTGCTGGACAGGTCCCTGTCTCCTCTCTTGGAGGGGTGCACAGTCCTAGCACACTGCACAACAGCAGCCCAGAGGCAAATCATGACAACGTAACAGTGCCATAGACCGCAATTTTTCAGACAATAAATCTCACTGACGCAATGCAACTCTGACCGAGCACTACGGTCACTAGAGCCGGGACTAAGCCAAAACCATCTCCAAAGCAAGGACGCCCACAGTGCCCCAGCTCAGAGGGTACAGAGGCTGCACACTCCCTTGCAGATGGGCTCAGGGGTAAGCTCCAAACACCAAACAGTTCGAGAAAATGGAGTCAAAGGGGCTGGTTATGGCATGGTTGCAATCAGGCTGTTCTTCCTTACTGGGAACAAGGCTGCACATGTTTGGGAAATGGGTGTCCTCTAGCGGATTCAGCATTGCTGAAAATAACTTGTAGTATTCTTACAAGTTGTAGCGTATAAACTTTCTCCATTTGCAGATCTTCTGGTTTCCCAGGGAACGTGCAGACTGTTGGTACAATTAACATGACCTCCAACAAGAGACTTCATTACCTGTGAGGCATCTGGAAATAATCCCTCTGGTTGAAAATGAGCCCTTGGCTCTGATGCCTCTGCCACCTCTGGTCTGACTCACCTGAGCAAGCCATCAGCTGCAAGACAGATCGAGTGGTCCCTAAAGCACCTCCCTTGTATTAAATGAAATCACAGATTCTCCGTTTCACAGAGACTGCAAGGCCCTCAGCATACTGAAGCATGCACATGCATGCCATGCTACAGGATGCTGAACAGGAGCTCACAACTCGTACTGCACCAGGAACACTTTACTGGCCTGAATTAAAAATTATGGCCGCAAGACTGGAAACACAGGAGCTGGGCAGCTGTGCTTCTCAGGAAGGATCTTCCACGGCTCCAGCTCAAGCCAGCTCTTGCCATTCCTGAGAGCCAAGCAGAAAGCAGCACCACATCAGCACTGCCTTCTGCTTCACCTCTGCGAACCAGTGCAGCTTAAGGCAGGACAAGATTTTGATTCTCAGCTTCTGTGTCACTCTCTCCTCTGGGCTGCCTTGGTGGCTCTCAGCAGGACTGGGGAGCAGTTCTGATACTTCACGAACACCAGCTGATCTCTGATGCTCCCCAACCAAGCTGCATCATTCAGCAGCCAGCGAGAGGTAAAGCTCCTCTCCCCTCTGCAGTGTGGGAAGCATCCAGCGCAGCGGGGAGCTGGGGAGCTGCAACCCGGAGGGAACAGCAGCTGCTTCTGAACTGGCTGGGAAGGGCGCTCTGCCTTCATTCACCTTCCTGCAAAGGCAATGACTAACGAAGACACTTCAGCATAAAATTAGTAACAAGATGTAGCACACTTATTTTTAACAAAGTGACCTTCATCAAGCTCGGAGCTCTTCTTGCTTAATTTTTTCCAAAATGAAAGCCAAGTCAATCATGAAATGCCAGGAGAAGATGTTAACTCTTTATTAATAAATTGATTTAGAAAAGCTTAGCAAGACAGGATTAATGGATTTGATGGTCAGAAAGGACCCTGTAATCTTCTAGTCTGACCTGCTGCAGAGCACAGGTCTGGACTTCCCACAGCCCACCAATCCAGGCAGTTGCAAGAGGGCTTATCTTTTAATCCATGCCATGGAGTCTCTGAAAAGTCACTACATTCTGGTCCAACGGTCAGCCTCACTGCAAACACCATGCTCTCTGTTTCCAGTTTTGTTTTATCTGACTTCTCCTTACAGCCCCTGGCTGTGTCAGCTCAAGTTCTTTAAATAGTATTCTTTATTGTGTTTCAAAGTATTAATGATTCTCTTACTCATGACTGCTTTCTTTTACAGTATAAAAGTAATAACGGGCTTGATTCTGAACTTAGTTACTCCCCAAACCATGTGGAATAAATTCTTTCCTGTAATGGTTTCAATTTTACAGTTGCGTAACAGAGACCAAACCCTTCTCCACAAAGGTACAAACCGAGCAAATCCACGGGAGAGCAAGTCAGCTGTCCATGCTTCTCTGGGCCGCCTGTTACATTGCGTAGATACTCTGAACAGCTCAGTGTAGAATGGTAAAAAAGAGAGGCAGCTGTAAAATTCTAGTTTTTTTGAGGAACAAATGAGAAGTTCGATTACCAAAGCATGTCATATGTCTGAGCCCAGCTCTGCGCACTGCTTGTCTGATATGTGGTTAGCTAATGACTCTATGATGTCAAGAAGGAGTAGCTGACTTAGGGAGCGGAGATTTGGCAACTTGGAGACCTTCAAGGAAAAGAAAAACACAACAGAAAAAACAGAAAGAAATTAAAACCCTCCCCAAATCATAGCTGATGTATCACTGTTTTACCCCTGCCACCCCATGTGAAACAGGCAGGTCAGGCAAGTCAAAGGCTGGGCATGTATGGTGTGAAATCACAGTCGTGGAGCTGGGCTGCAGAGGATGGCCCACGGGGCCTCCAGTCATGACTTCCTGCGCTTATAACCCAATTTCAGACTGCTGCATGGAGGGGATGGGAATGGAGAACAGCAGAAATGCTGACCCCAGCACTGCCTCTCTGAGAAAGGAGTGTAATTACTGTTTATATTGACAACTCTACTGCTAATGGATGCCAATTAAGCACTCTCCTGAAAGCAAAGTTGGGGACCAGCACAGCCCTGAACTTGAAGTCTGTGTGTTTCTACTGAGAACACAACTTAGGACCTGATCTCTTCACTCCTGTGTGCTCCTAAGGAGGGGTTGTGCTTAGTGTCCCTGCTGATTTTGCTGGCATGCCTCCTGCAGTCAAAGCAGGTCACTGGAGCACTAGCCAACAAAAATCATCACCATGTCAGATATATGAGAATCTACAACAAACTTTATGCTCTTAGACTGTTCAGAAGCTCAACTGTTATCAAAAAGGAGCTCTACACATTCCTTCCTTCTCCACAACCTCATAGTAACGAGCCAGTAATCCTTCTTTCTAGTTATTAACATACATGCCCAGCCTTGAAGGCAGACTCTGCCTAAAAGCCTGTCCTCTTACCCAACCTGTATTAACTGATCTAATAAAATATCATCACCTCATTCTAAGAAGCTTGACTGTGATAAAGAATAAAGATGTCCCAAGCATATTTTGAAACTCAGGAAAGAAATAGCTGAGTACACTTTCAGAAAGAGCTCAGGACGTGCTTGAAGTAATAACCCCAAAATAAGGGTCCGCGAGGACTGGAAGGGAAAGAGACCCCCATAACACTGGTGGGAATCCTGCCCCTGCACTAAGGCACGCACTGCGGAGGAACAGATCAGGGTGTCAGTACGAATGCTTCAGAACAGCAGTTTTATTAGGGCTTTTGCACAATACTGACACACAAAAGCCTAAAAACACATTGCCCAAACTAAGGAACCTCTGGGAACAGCTCTTCAATTAATGTTCTCACTGTGGGGAAAACTCCTTAACAGTCCGAATCAAGAACAGCATTAATCAAAACTAGAAGAACAGGAGATCCCAACGGCCATACACCCGGCCTGTCTAAGCCCTGATGACCCACCGGACTTGTGCAGCTAGAACAAATCACCCTTCAGAGCCTGTGGCTTGCCAGGGAGCAGAATGGCAAGCATTTGTGCCCAGCCACACATAGAGTCACCCAGTGCTGGGCCAAAAATCACACACTGAAACCTCTCAGGCCAAAGAAAAACATTGCATAATTAAGATTTCTTAGTGCACATCTGCTTGACAGTCTTCCAGCCACATTTTGATGAAAACTGTTTTAACAGTCAACAGTTTAAATATAAAACATTTCTACATATTCTGGTTAGTGGAGTACAATTGAGTAACTCCCTCCAGTTCAAATCTCTTTTTCTGAAATGTTGCAATGTTCATTTCCCCCCAGTATGTTCTGGTGAGAATCGTGCCAACCTGTTTGTCTTCCTGTGGCCTCCACTGGGAAGTTGAGACCATGAGATTTCAGCTCTCGGGGACTGCAATGCATTGACCCCAAACCCCAGGAGGTGTCCCAACCACCAGGCTATCCTGTAACCCGCAGTGGGACCATTCTCCATCCCCTGCTGAAGCTGGGCCACTCTGCAGGATTCATGAGGCCAGAAGAAGATACGTTAAGATCAAGGCAGGGGCTGTAACCTCATGCTGGGGACTATCCATTGGGAGTGCGATTCCTGGATGCTAGCTCCACTTTCAAAGCTTTTTATGCATTTTCAGTTATTTCTGAATGTAAAATGCATCATGCTTGGGCAACTTAGGCATTTAATAAAGAACCCAAATACCTCCCTCTGTCTCATCTCTAGATACAAACTGGACTTAGCAGTGCTTTCCTTACCCATAGGCAGCAGCAGGAGAATTGTGAGCTTAAATATATAAAGAGAGCGAGCTACCTGAATACTAACTAGGGAATTATTATCAATCAGTGTGCAGCATCCAGAAATCCCAATTCCTATGATTTACGTACCAATTTCAACAATGCTAATAAGTTGTGCAATGAACTGGTGACATGCTGGGAAACTTTCATGGAGGGATCATATTTCATAGGAACAACTAAACGACAATACCCTTGTTCTCTTGAGTGAGGACAGAAATATCAGCACATCAGGCTCTTGACCTTTCCTATCATTAATGCATCATCCCACATATCAAAACATGGAAACTACAGAAAGCCCAGCCAGGACACGGTAATTTACCTTTTGAGCACATGACAATATAACATCTATGACAGAGAATACTTCAAGAGAAATCTGAACAGCACATTCGTAACTGCTAGTGAAAGAGAGATTTGTGCCCGCAATACATAACAAACATCTTGATATACACATGAGAACCCAACGATGGCATGGCACAAAATTAGCAGCTGGAACAAGTGGAAATGGAAGCAATTCTGGGTAACTTCTGTTTTGGAAGGTCTTCACATTTCCAGACTAGGCTGTTCTAGTCTTTATTTTTGGTGTGAAAAGTATGCCTAGCGGACTTGTCAGTGAGTGTCAGTAACACGCAGCCAGCTCTCAGCTGTCTCACATGAGAAAGAATGAAATGGATTCCTGTATTAATGTGTCTTTAACCAACGCAGTGAAAGAGGACAGCAGCTCTCAAAAGCCCCAGAAAAGATGCAACCAACCTTGGTGAACTGGTGAACAATGATGTGCAGGCAGTGCCTCTTCATGTCCAGGGCTTGGGTCTTGTCAGCTGCCTCTAAAATCTAGAGCAAAAGCAACAATGTGATTTTCCTTCTGCATAGCTCAGATGTACAGTGCACAAACACTGTTCTGACTCAGAGGAGGCAATTCCTCTGAGCTAGGGAAACATCTCAATTTTTCATTACAAAGCTGAATCTTTTCTGAACTATTCAAAAATAAGCCTTGGATTTAAAATGTATGGAGTCCTCAGGAGATAACCAGTAGGAAACTGCAGATCTGTTTCAGAGCCAGGTTCCCTGACGTGCCCCAGTGAGACTGGCAAGAGCCAAAAGCAGTTAACACTAGAAATGATTCTGCTCGTGTTGCAGAGGATTTGGTCTGCCTACCTAGTAGATGGCATTGTAGGCCCTCTTATCACAGAATATTTTTTTGTTAGCTTAAACTTCATTGCCAGATCCTGTCAGCATTACTGATAAAACAAGACTGATGTCACCTGCACATCACTGTTTGCCCTGGTACAAACAACTCCAAACCCTTCTCCGGTAGACGAGTGCTCAGCGGCACATGGTACATCTTAAAAAGACCTTTAGAAACACTGGTCTACAATGGGGGATGAGGAGTTCAAGAGGAACATCCTGTTGGCTAGTTGAGCCATATCTGCTAAACACTTCAGCACAGGAGCACTAGTGACACAAAAAGCAGATAAGGAAGCAAAGCTGCTGAAGGCTGCACTCCTACCTATGTGTTAAACCACACAGGACCACTATTAAAAGGGTTTGTGCAGTCTCAGTGGATGTCAGTTTGGAAGCAACTCAGTGAACCTGGCACTAGGGGTACCCACTTGACTAGACCCTTTGGCTTTCCTGTATCTCAGTCCAGCGACTACTCAAAGTGCTTGAGGACAGTTACCTGGAGTACATTCTCCACTGTGACATTCATTTCTAAATTCTGCTTACAATAGGCTTGTAGTCTGTTGTTGGAGAAGCCGTAATAGTAAGGTGCAGCAAAGAGATAGCTATTAATCTCATTAAGGAAAAAAAGGTAAAGCAAAGGTAATGGCACCGATTGTAAATGCAGGTCAATGACAGAAGTTAAAATGGAGTGCCTGTTAATGCGACCCTGACAATAATCCTCCCAAGTTGTGCCTGGCAATCTAGAGCAAAAGGAAGGTGAGCTGCTGTACATACACTTTAGACAGATGCTTCAATTACTTTAGATTTAAGGATACAGGGAGTCTTCAGGAGGCATGTTTACTTCTCCATAATAAATGTATCTAAGCATAGATTCAAATGCTTGCTTGCTGGGAACCATTTCACCTATAGAAATATTCACTTGCCCATCTTCCGGCATAAAGGAACGGAACATGGCTTCAAAGTAACTGGAAAAGGAAATAAAACTAATTTAACACATTCTGCAGACAGATGGTTTAACGCAGTATTGTTCAAAGGCTGCTGTTAAGCACTGCAGCTTTCAAAGAAGCAAATTCAGGTGACAACCTGGGCAAAAACACTGCTAAGTTATTGTTTCATATATGTCTGCCTGTGAGAGAACTCCAAATATAATCCCCCCAATTTTCATCAGCACTACCTGAAATTTGTCTCTTTTTCTAGAAAATTAGGACACATGGTGCTTTGATTTTCATCTAATTTGCATAAGACACAGTAGAGAGCTTAAAGCATTATGAATTTCCTTGGTATCTACAGGCTGCCAATCATGCAGGGCTGTTTTAAGAGCTGTGAAATGCTTCTGGTAAAATACCTCGGTAACTAATACTGAATATTATTACTGGGACTGGAAAAAAATTGTGACAGTATTTGAAATAGAAATTTGATGTGAACACTTAAGGTTTGGCAGAACACAAAGGTGCAGGTACACAGAACACACAAGCGAAGGAGAAACCCACTTCACCCACATACTGAGGAGGGATAATAGTACCCATCTTCAGAAGGGTGAACTACTTGCCTCTGCAACAAAGCATGGGAACAATCTAGTCTCTGTTATGCACCATTTTTTGTTACGCTTATTCATACCCAGTCTTAAATATCAGCAAGTGAGAAAGAGATTCAAGTTTCATGTGATTCAAAATGGATGTTCACCATCAGAAGACTCTTTCTGACCTCAGTGGACATCTGTTGCTTTCCACTTCACTGAAACCGCCTTATGTTTTACACCCTTTTTCCCTTCCTGTGATTTTACAAATTCTTTGTCTTGCAGTGCAGCTTCTTACACATCCTCTAGAGAATCTCTACAGTTTTAATTTCCTCCTACCTTTCCCTGCTGGGTATCAAATTGACAAAAAATATTTAATCACCGTTGCTTAAAGGCTTATTACACTCATTGAGCAAAGCTGCATCTTACACTTCATGGGGATACAAAGTTCCTCCCTGCCTTCTAAAAAATGCAAGCTGACCCACAGATTGCACAGCACTACATTTTACACATACAGTATTTGTTACAGTTTTAGTAAACAGCAACTCACCTGGAGCGGGCTGCTAGGATTGCTTTATGGGCTGGCCGTGGGTGGCCATCTAAGAGAAGGATGATATCACAGAATTCAGTCCCGGCTCCTTCTAGGTAAGCCTTCATGTCCTGAATTAAAGATGTTCCTGAAAGTTAAGGTAATGAAATAGTTAAAGACATGATAGTTCCAGGTGAGCAGGTACTACCAAACTAATATATGGCCAAGCCATAGCTCCAGCCCCTCTTGCCTTAGGGACCCTTGAGGTGAGTTTGAGGTAGGCCCTTCCTCATAATCCTGGAGCAAAATGAGCTTCATCCTTCCCCATCACAATCCATTACCTACTGCCCATCCCAGGAACAAACCTGGCAGCTCTGCTTTCAAACCGCTGACAGCAAACACTGGCAGTGGCTGTGCTGAAAGGTGTTCTCTATAGATAAAGAAATCTGACTTTTCCCCACCCTTTTCTTTTCATTATTTCCAACCACCAGGAATATAAAATTTCGTTTCTTCATGAAAAAGCTTTCCCAAATCCTCAATAAAGGCTTCTTTTATCCAACATTTTAATTAACCTTTTAAAATATACAATAACTGCAAAATAGAGCACACACAAGTCTGATCCAAATTCACTCATAATTTCAAAGTTCATCTTTCAATTTTTTGATGTTTGGGTATCTTGTACCATTCCAGCTCTGGATACAGAACGGGCATGCCCTGTCTTAGTCTGGGAAACAGCCTAAGTGCAGTTATACCAACTGGACAATCAGTGGTCTGCAGTGGTCTACTTCCTACGCTGTTTGCTAGACTAAACAAACCATTAGCAATGCAAAAATAGCACAACTAATTATAAAGCATAAAAGTTACCAATGTCAAGTGGCTGATCGGAATGTGTTCGAACAGGAGGTTGCTGTTTTCTCCGTACAATCTCCACTATGAGGGATGAAGAAAGATGCTCAAATTCCTTCATCATTATTACCTGATTAAAATGTGATTCCTTCACCACAAAGTTCAGGCAATGTTCCTTAAAAAAACCCAATATTAATTAAAAAATTATGGTTTACTGTATGAAGTCACCCTCCAGCATCACATAAATGTTACCATGTCACACATGTAAACAGCCATCCTTTTCTTATGACCCTCCACCTGGATCCTGCAGCTGAAACTATCAAACAATGACCTCTTTTTTAGGTGACCACTTAGGCTCCTACTTGAACAGGAAATTCAGGACAATTCTAAGCATCTAGAAAAACATGACTAAGAAATAATAACAAGGAAAAGATTGTCTCCCATCTAGCTGCTCTGAAGCTTTCTAAAACAGGAATCTCGGGAGATGCCAAAAACCTCACGGAGCTAACCAAGATTGGTTGCTATCTCATAATAATTCTTTATACAATTAGATACAGAAGTTAATTAGAAGGGTGAAGAGACCTTAACTCTTAACACTATCCTTTAAGAGTACAGATATTTTGCAGGACTTCCTTGTGTGGATTCTGCCTTAACCTTTTCTGTAAAGGCTGCGAACAGCCTGAAAGAGCTCTTGTAGGTTCTTGTATGACAAACTTGCTAGAAAAATCAATGTGGTGGAAAGGTGACAAATGAACCAGACCTAATGCTAAACAGTTAAAGTGACAAAAAACGGCACGCTGTTTGCCAGTGTGATCCAAGGTTTTCCCTCAGGACTCCTGAATAAGCAAAAAATATAATCTATACCAGCTCACCATAAGGTGAGTAAAAAATTCACCCAAAGAATAATTACTACTGACCATTTCCTGCAAGTTATTTCACCTGGGATCCAAAGGGATCTGTTGAGGACCCATCTGTGAAATGTTTTGAACAGTCACTAGGGATGCCAGAAAGAGCAGCCTTCTGCAGATGGCACCTACCCACGAGGACTAACACGCACTTGAGAAGACAGGATGCCAACTCAGGGTGATCCTGACCAAATGGAGTTGTGTGGAAGAGCCCCTGTGTGGTAGCTGAGGCAGGTGGAGGTAGCTGGCTAATCTGAAATTATTGGCACTAGATCCACAATGCTGAGATATTTGCTTGAGCTTCTGGGCAGCTAATGGCATCATGGTCCTACGCACCAAAGGCTGTGCCAGCATTTACATACTTGCTGCTGACTCTGCTGTTGTCCTCCTGGATGCTTTTCCTTTGCCCAAATCTAGTGCATAAAGAGTGCCTGAGGAAGTGCTGGTGCATACTGGTTTCTCTAGCCTCCCTCTGCTTGCAATTGTCAGCTATATGGCCAACTGATGGGCACAGGCTGCTCAAACAGGCATTGCATGATCTTGCACTGACTCTTGGACTTGGGGTGGAGGATTGTCTTCTCTGCAGCTTTACGCAGAACTGGCTCTGGCTGCTGTTGGTGGGAACCAGACCATCACAGTAAATCCTGGTCTGAAGCCTGGGGGTATTGACTCTACCATGACTTTCAGCAAATGCCTAGAAGCCCTTGACCCACTACACAGAGACGGAGAATCGCGAAAACATTTTTTTTTTTCAGTAGAGTGTTTTTCAGATCAAAGGCATGAGAACAGAATTTATTTTTTTCATCAGACCAGGTGAAAGAACCTGTTTGCAGTCTCCATATAAAACACTGGGACCAGAAAATGGACTGGTTCCATCTTGCTACAGTGAGAGTGAATTGATGAAGAGCCAAAGTCACTCTGCCCTTTACATCCTGCAGGGCAGATATGCAAAAAATATCAAACACTTAGTGAAAAAAACCTACATAATATTCATGAGCAACTGCAGGACAATCCACACTAACATATACTCAAGCAACTATAATTATAGGAAAGAACTGAATTTGCAACAGCTGATAGCTTTTGCAAAACTTTAATTACATAAATATTCTTTTTTTATTTCTTATCAGTTACCCTGTATGCAAAATGTGATTACCTTTAGCTGATCCAGCTGAAGCTTGTTAGCATTTTCACACACAATAAGCACATTCTGCAGATCTACAGATGCTTCAATATATTGAAGGCAGAGCTGTTCGAGTCGAGAGAGCTTGAAGTTTAAGGCTAGTTTGTATACATCCATAATAAGTAACACATCCTGCACATGACCTGAAATTACGAGAAAGAAAAACGCTGGAGAGCTCACAGAACAAAAAGAGGAAGCCTTCTCAAAGTAGGGTTCTTTTTACATCAACCCGAGCATTTGGAATGGTAGAATGTGCAGCAACTGGAAGATTGTTATGGAGAAAAAAATTCCATTGCTGGTTAGACAAAATCTGAATTGATACTAAAAAAGGAGTTTCAAAATTGAGGCATGAAATAGCAACCCCAAAAGATTTTTTGGACAAAGATTTTGTGACAATCTGGATCACTATTTTCTAACACCCTCAAAACAAAGTGAAGTCTCTAAAAACACTGACAAGCTCCGAAGCAGCCCAATTTTCCAAAGTGCTGCTAACAGCTCTGTCGAAGTCCTTGGGTTTTTTGCAGTATTAGCAACCAGCTCCCTGATTTTGACAGACCCTTATGAAGGCACTCCGTGCTTGTGCACGTACAGATCTGAGGCTGGTCTATAACAGAGGAATGAAGTAAGAGAGGGGCAGTGGGAACCCTCACAGCCACTGCAATGGGGCTACAGGGACACCAACTCAAGGAATAATCCTCCACAGCCTTTGCTCTCCTCACAGGAGATCTCTGGCCATCTGCTGTAACTACTTTTTGGATAGAGAAAAGCCTTCTCGCATGTCACGTGCCTTCCCTGTGTCTAATCAGAAAATCCCATTTGATAAGCATGCTCAATTCTATTAGCTCAGCCTCTGGATGGATCCCCAAGGTGCTGCTCTCTGAACTGAGAGGAGCAACTAGGAATACAAATGGTCAGGACAGGGCCATTGGAGGATCCCAGCAGAAGGGTAAGCTGCAGGCAGAACATTTGATGGGCTGGGGGAAGGGTAGCTGGCTGCCTAAGAAGCCTGTAACAAAGGGAAGAGCTCAGTATAATAATCCTTTCCTTGGTCTGATCCTGTCCTGAAGTGAGCATGCTGAGGATCAGTGAATCGGCTGAGAGCGGGCTCTGGCAATATCAGCAGACACCAATGAGAAGGCTCCCTTGTCCCCATTAATTAGGCTTGCTCTCAGGCAGGCCACCTCGCCGGGAAAGCTGTGGGACAGCTGCATACAAATCATTATTTTCCTGAGAATTATCTTTTATAGAAAGGAAAGATCCTGGACTGAAACTGAGGCAAAGCTTTCAGCATTAGGATAGATGTACCTCACTTTACCTGACTGTGCCACGCAGCTGCGGCTTCCTCAGCCCCACCAGCTGGAGTCCCCCCTGGGTATCCAGTCTGACTCCCACAGCCCAACAGACCTCATCACTCAAACATGGCCATGAGTTAGATTTGCTGTGTGGGAGCTGAGAGATCTCTGGCTATTATCTCCCAGCCTACAAGTATTTTTAACTCAGGGATCTTCAATGAATGTATCAAATGGATTTTTCCTTTCTTGAGGCATTCCTTTGGATTGGCATTTTGAAGAGATGATAAATACTGGCTTGCTCTGCCTTTCTGTGTGGGCTCAGTTTGCAACGGATCAAAACAATACCAGAAAAAGGAAATAAGCCAACCCAGGATACATGGTCCTTCCAGGCAGGCTACAGTAATGTTCAAAATACTATGAAATTTTTGTTTGTTTGGTTGGTTTTTTTTACACCTTTTGGAATGATCAAGAACCTACTTTTCCTTGATGTTTGAAAAGAATTAGGAAAAAACAAAGCGCTGATAGTATGCTTTGATAGAAATCTGCTTTTTTTTAAAATCTCAGGTAAGTAATTAAGAGCTTAGAGCAGGATTGATCATCTGCAAATGCTTGATCCTGCTCTGTATCAAAATAAATGTTTGCTCCCCAGTCGCTAGTATTTTTTTTTTTATCCTGCTGTCCTACCTTTGCGAGGGTATTTTATTTTATCTGTATACAGAAACTGCATGAGCACCTCGAAGGGTTGCGCCTCAGCCTCTCGGATGGGCACTTGCAGTAGTGGCTGCAGGCGGCACAACTTGACATTCCCACCAATCCCATCCTTCTGACATGTCGCATGTCCCTCGTCTTCAATATCTTGCTTTGATTTCTAATGAGAGTGAAAAAACACTCAAACATGGCAACAAGGCTGTGTTAGCTCACACACATTACTATCAAACCAAAGGAAAGATCATTCTCATGACTGCACATTCTTCAAGACCCAAGATCTCTTTTATCTTCAAGATAACAAGGAATTCATATGCCTTAGACTTACTGTTCCATATTCTGTGACAAACGTGGATCACAACAAATGTGAGCTCCTGGATAAAGCTCAGAAGCAGGAACTCAGAAAAAGGGAGGAATGAATTCCACTGAGCTCACATTTCTGCCCTCAGCAGGAACATCATCTCTCCTTGGAGAAGGAAGATGTAGGAACAGGTTCCACAGACCCCTGCCTTGCAAAGTCAGAGCTCAAAGTGCTGCACAGAAGCATTTTAAGCCAGTCTGTTACTTTCAAGTTTCACTTTGACAGCCTTTCCCCACAGCCTTTTCCAGTGAAGATGGAGGGCTGTGGGACGACAAAGCAATTAACTAAGGGGCAATGAGGCATCCATATGTCTTACTGCAGGTTGTGTGCTACCACTTCCTCAAGAGCAATAAGTGTTTGCTGCTGAAAAGCTGTAAGCAGTTAAAATTAATAGACAATGAACCAGAGGCACCAGACCTTCAACTCTGGAAAAAGTCAGGAAATACTAAAGTGAAGAGAACACAGCCAGCCTCAAAACCTTAACACTGCCTTCCCTCTAATCTGTCTAATCTGGCAGGCTATCCCCAATGACATGCAGCTTTTACCATCCCCAGAAGGAGGGGTACGCATACCTCCTCAGGGGTTTTAGATTAGAACTTAGACAGCTATGAGAGCTCCCAAGAACCATACCGCCAAATCCAGATAACTGGATTAACTTTGGCTCCTCCATGTTACACTAGCCTATGTTAATACTAATTATTGTCTTTAGTTTACTTGCTCAAGAGCACCTTAGCATCAGATGCTGCTCTGGTCCTACATCTGTCTCAGCAGATACTATTTTTTTCCTGACAACATTATTTCCGAAACTGGGCAGAATAAGCACTACCTTGCCATAAGATTACTCTTCCAAAATACTCACCTGTTTCAACCTCTCCCTTGCCTGTATGATTTTCTTTTTCAGCCACTTGCAGCGAGCTGTAACAATTGCAGTATGCCCTCGGACTCGTTCTTCCTTCTGTCAAAGGCAAAGGAAGAATACATTTTAAACTTTTATTCCCAAATCACGTCATGGTGGCAGATGGCAGAAGTTGTAAAAACCTGGGCTGAACTCCAGGTTACTATACCTATAGTTTAAGTTAGAATCAAAGGCAACCTTGCATCTGCTCTGCACATACAGATGAAATTCAACATCTATTTTCCCTAAAGGCTAATGGCAAACACCATTTGGAAAGTCTTTGTTACATTCACTGAGTGGAAGCTGTTGCGTAGGTTCAGTGTCACAGGCGTTGCTTCTTATTGTTGCATCTGATTTTCAGTTTAATTTTCTCTTTTCAAAACAACAGTGTGTTTTTTTGCTATTGTTCTTCATAATCTACTTCATCTCTTGTTGAGGATCTGTTATCTGATCTCTGCAAAGCGTTTTATAACTTTTTTTTGCAAAATGAATGCAGGTAAGTTCAAATTTCTCATGTTTTTCTTCAGAAAACATGTTCTTTTTAAAATTTTGTAATTGTTTTCATTACTACAGAATCATTCCCCTGTGCTGCTTTTTCTCATTCTATTTTATTTCAGTAATTAAAAATGGGTCTTGAAATGACACATGGATCTGCAAACCCCTAACCCACTCTTTCCAGGAGGCAGTTGGAACCTCGGAGTACAAAGGTCATTAGTATCATTTTCATATTGCAACTATATATAATGTGCTCTGATAAATTCAGGTTATGTCTCAGTAATGCACAGATCTTCTCAGTTTAGAAGTTTCTTCTCCTTTGCAGCTTTAGAAATTCATCTGGATTAGTGTAACTTACTAAACCAGACAGACATAATTTTCACCAGTGTTGCTGCTCTTAAAACTTCATTCCCAGGGTTTCTGGCACAATCATTGTACAATTTGCTTTTTCCCAGCAAACATGCTACACATGCAGTAACACCCCCGTTGGCAGCTTTTCAATAAATTCTACTCACCTCTCCCAAAACAAACTCCAAGTCACTGAACTGCCTGTTTTCCCATAGCCTTCCATAATCTTCATGTAGGGTGCATTTAGGGTAACAAGAAAACTAAAAAAATAAAACCCCACAGAAGACAGAATTCATTTCAAATGGCTATATCCAAAAGCACTGTAGTTACATATACTAGCACTGGATTTTCTTATTAGCTCAACCTCAGTATAGTATATAAAGCAGAAAATAACAAGCAAACCAAACACATGCAAGGGCTTCCTCTGTGGTGAGGGTAATGAAAGATAACAGTAACATGGAAGAATTATGTCTCACCACAACTTGCAGATTTCAGGATTTGGTGGCTAGGAGTCCCACCTGCCCTCAGGACTTGTCTGAGGGTCCCACGCAATAAAAATAACCTTGAGTGTAAGGAGGGATTTGACCTGGTGTGAGTATCTTGAAATTTAAAATTTAAAATTCCCATAGTTACTGCGGGGGTGGAAGTGGGAGTGCTGCACGAAGATAAAACTCCAATACAAAATGCTCTGGCCCAGGAACCCTGAACATGATAGTACATGAAGAGGAACAGTCAATTTTCAGTTAATCATCCTGGCAAATCCTGTCTGATACATTTTTCAATAATTTGTCAAAATAAGTTGTCATGACCTCTGTTAGGACTTTAGAAGGCACTGGAGAGCTTGGCCTTACCAAAATGTCTGTCCAGATAACATTTCTCAAGAGATTTTTAAATATACACATTAATCTTTGGCAGCTGAATCTGAAATGCAAAGGCTGCCTGCAGGAAGGATGCAAAACGAAAGCCATCAAGTTCACGATGAGCCAAACCAGAAACTCTGCTGCGTCTGGAGACAGAGCCAGAAGGATTCATGCAGAATTTGTGTGGATGTTTGAGTACATTTATCAGTGAATTACCTGGAACCTGTACATTTCTCCACTTCTAATGTTATTGTCCACTGTACCACCAAAGATGTACATAGCATCTGAGATAACAGCTGCAGCATGGAAGAGTCTCCCACTGGGTAACTAGGGAAAGAAAAGGACAAAATAGGTGAGGAAATAAATAAAAGACTTTTTTTTTTCTCCCAAGAAAAAGGACTTGCAAGAGATCAACATTGAGAAGGGAAAATCAATGTAGTCTGAAGTGACATGAAAGCTTGCATCCTAAGATTGACATTTATTATTTAGGATTGTTTCCTAGTGTATCTAGGACATACTTTCCAGTCATACTTAAAAACACCTATTCATTGCACCTTCTAATCAGAATGGTACGTACATAGGGCTCTACGTATCATGATAGTTACAAATTATATCATTTACCAAACTCAGACTCAGCACTAAGTTTTACATAGAAAAATAAAATGCACTTCTAGAAATAAACAGATTCTGCAAATGTGATCACTATGCAAACTCAGAGCTTGTGCTGAATATTACTGGGAACTTGAAAGGTAAACGAACATCTATCTCAGCAGGATATTGAACTCCAGGCTTGTAGATGCACGCCTTCCCCACAGCTTGCTGGGGCTGAACCATCTGGCTAACAAGCTCCTCCAACAATGCCAGATTCTGCACAGAAGCCCAAAGTTGGAGACATTTACAGAGCTGGCACCACGGAGTCAAGTCTCCTTTCTCCATCATGCCAGGTCCACAGAAAAAAAAGCCACTCCACACTGCATGAAGCCCCATCTATTTATAGGACTGAGGGATCGCACCATTCCATGCAACACACAGTTCACCTTGGAATTGCAAAATTGGATGATTTTTGAAGCGGGAAGGAGTCACTGCAAGTCAAAGCTGCCATGACCCTCCTGCACGGGACAGACCACATCATTTTTACCCGTTTCTTCTGAGGTTACACAAAAGGTATCTGATCAGATTAGCACATCTCACTGAGATGACTCATATAAAGTCTTCAAGTGGTGATAGTAACTTCTTTTTTTTTTTTTTTTTCCTAGTTTGATCAGGCTTGTTTTGTCTTCCAGGCAGCAAATCTCATTAAATCTTTGCCTACGAAAAAAAAGTCCCTTGGTATAAGAAATCTTCTCTTCTTGTACATATTTATAGACACCACTCAAGTAAACTCAGACATGAAACAAGATTATGTTTATCTGGAGAGACATATTTTCCAGGAAACCATGCTGACTGGCATTTTTCATTACCACTGACTTATCCCTTTTACCACAGCATCACACAACGGTCTCATTTAGCTTGTTACTCACCAGACTTTCCATGACTTTTTCTTTTCTTCAAACTACAGCTTTTAAGGATACAATCCCCCATGCAATAACTAGGACCTGGTTTTTGGTTTTTTTTCTCAGATGTACAAACCACAGATTTGGTCACATTAAAATGCACATTTGCCTGTGCCAGTTTAACAAGCCATCTTGGCTAAACAAGATACCTTCTGTCTCCAGCATACTTCATGGATACTTTATCAAAGAAACTTTAAAGGTGGTGCTAATAAATACTGTGATGGGAAGATTATAGAATAATATTGATCTATTAGTACATTCCTGCTGGGCCCCTGTTTGATAACGCTCCAAAAGAGGATGAGATTACTGTCAAATATAATCTATTTTATATGGCCTCTATTTGTTCTTAGTAGTAATCCCATTAATTAAGATGTACTGACTGAAAAAAATCAAACATATTATAGTAGTTTAAAAATACATCAGTGACCTTTATCAACTGGACCTCCAACCTCATCCCAAAATATGGAGTTTGCTTGCCAAGACCTACTTCCACACAACTAGATGGGCTGATATTAGCTGTCTTTTAATATCTTCCTTACAACTAACTCTCCAACCAAAACAAAAAAACCCCAAACTATTCTGCCAGAGACCAAATGCAGGCCACCTGGTTTATACTTATTCAGGTAATTTTCCCTGTCTTCTTTTTTTAAAAAAATAATACTTTAGCTTTGTTTTTAATTGAAATAATTCTCAATATTCTCTCGTATTTGCTTTTAAAAGCAGCCATTGTATTTAACAACCACATTTTTTTCAATCAAAAAAACTTACAGCATTTTAACAATTGATGCCAGAAAGGAAATATGAATCATCTGAATATCTAAACAAGTAACACCATACTTGCTAGTCGCATCATATTTAACTCAAACGATCTGTAAGGAATGTTGTAACAATGATTTTTAATTTGTAATGGTTGGTACCAGAGTGGACAAGGAACCAGAACTTTGCCACTTACTAATAACTTAAGCAATCAACAACTCTACTTTTTAAATATACATACCACATTTTTAAAGTGAGTAGTAAGAGAAATGTAAAATATGAAAGGATAGCCCAGAAAAAGAAAGGCCATATACAGTTCATCAAAACATTGTGCAGCTGAGGGTTTCAGGGTATTTGTCTTGCTGAATCAGAATAGCAGAGTTCAAGCCAGCACAAACCCTCACATGGTGATGGCAACCCGGCCAAACAGTGAGATACCGATGCCACCTTCAAGGATAACAACGTTCTGCCCTCCCAGGACCAAGGCTTTGGCCAAAGAAAAACTCTGGCCCAGTGCAAACCAGGGCAGCTGGGTCCTCAAGAAGAAAATATTCAGGGCAAAAAGGTTAATAGAGCTCAGGAGCATAAACAGCTGGAGAGATATGCTGGGCTCCGCGTTCCTCATCCACCAATAGCAGATGCCAAAAGCCTGCCCTATCTTGAATTTTTTGTTGGGAGACCTCCCAAGCTGCCAAATCCAGCTGCTGGATACACTCAACCCAGGTAGAGTTTATAAGGAACAGACATGAAATAATATCTATTTTGCTAGCCCGGATGGTCAGAAATCCTCCCAGCATGGGATGCTGCGGAGGAAGAGTCCACGAGGAAATTCACAAAAACAGACACACAAAACTATGCCCTGCATGCCAAATTCAGCAGTCCAACACGGGAGGGTTGGAGTTACGTGGTCTTATTTTAAACACCAGAGGGAACAGTCATCGCTCTGCTCACCATCCATGGACCTGTATTTCACAGGACATGTGCTGGCAAAACCATGTGGTTTGCCCTGCCTAAGGCTGAGGTAATTCAGGTGGCTTATAACCTACCAGAAGAAATGAATCTGAGCTTCTTTTATGCAGATATTTATATATCTGTGTCTTCCTCGCTGTCCTGATTTTGGCTGGGATGGAGTTAATTTTCTTTCTAGTAGCTGGTATGTGTTATGTTTTGGATTTAGTATGAGAAGAATGTTGATAACACACTGATATTTTCAGTTGTAGCTAAGTAGTGTTTATACTAAGTCAAGGATTTTTCAGCTTCTCATGCCCAGCCAGCAAGAAGGCTGAAGGGGCACAAGAAGCTGGGAGGGGACACAGCCAGGACAGCTGACCCAAACTGGCCAAAGGGGTATTCCATACCAAGTGATGTCATGCCCAGTATATAAACTTGGGAGGAGTTGGCCTTGGGGGTGTGGATCACTGCTTGGAAACTAACTGGGCATCAGTCAGTGAGTGGCGAGCAACTGCACTGTGCATCACTTGTTTTGTATATTCCAATTCTTTTATTACTATTATTGTTATTTTATTATTATTATCATTATTATTTTCTTCCTTTCTGTCCTATTAAACTGTTCTTATCTCAACCCACAAGTTTTACTTTTTTTCCCCCTGATTCTCTCCCCCATCCCACTGGGTGGGGGGGAAGTGACTGGGCGGCTGCATGGTGCTCAGTTGCTGGCTGGGGTTAAACCACAACACTCACTACTGAGCAAAGTCTCATCCCTTGTACTAGTGCACACAGCCAAATCTGATTTGATAAAACCCCAAGAAGGTCAGTTCATGCAAAGGTGGGACAAGAATCACTGTCTACAATAGAGCAAACCTGTCTAAGACTTGAAAGGCACTACAGGATTGCAGCCACTGGATCACAATCCCTTGTCAGAGCCTAAGAGAGAGTACAGAAACCCCAATTTTCAACACACAATCACTCTACTACAAATAATTGTGTAGGTAGAAAAAGATGCACCATGTTTCTTCCTGTTTAAGCTACTCCTTCCTTGGTGCAATTTCAGCATTAATCACATCACCTCTTGTCCTACCCACCAGAACCACAGAAAAGAGCTTCTTTCCCTCCTTTCTGCAGTAACTGTTCCTGCGTTTCAAAATGTATGCTTCACCTCTCATCTTCCCTTCACTAGGCATCTCCAGCTCTTTCAGCTTTTCAATGGGGTCATGTTTGCTGATTGCTCTTACAGCTTTCCTAGGGATTCTCCTGATGGTCTGCATATTTGTACTCCATCCATCTGCACAAGTAAAGGATTATTACTAGTTGCAGTTTATTAGAACTGTCTTAGACAACAAATCTATCACTCAAATATACAGTGAATGACTCCTTGCTCACAACACTATAAGCCAAGGTTACCATTAGGAACTGCTGCTCTCAGAGAAACAAAGACAGTGTAGCGTGAACATGAAACTAAGCCTCTGTTTTGCAATATAACACATTTATCCTAATTTCCGTCTTTTACAAGCACAGTCTCATCAACTGTTCCACATCCTGCTTGTGACATGGGAATGTGTTGGTCAGCCTCATTTTACAGCTGGCAAAGAAGCTCAAAGAAATTGTTTTAATTTTCTGAGATCATAAAGAAAGACTACAGTAGACTAACAGCATGTGCACAGTTTGCAGGGTATCTTTCAGCTGCTGCTCTCGGTAAAATTTTAAGGTTATTCTGGTACTTTCTGCATTCTAAGTCCAGCTGCTAGGGCTCTGAATGCGGTATGGAGAAGTGCAGATTTCTGCTTAAGAGCTGCCAAGTAATGAACATACACTTCATGCTATGAATCTGTCAGGGCGTTTTTTTGGACAGTTTTCCTGAGATCTCCTCTTGCCCTCTTTTCTCCCAGTGTTTCACCTTGTCAAGTTCCAAAGTCCTGCTGGTAGTAGACCACTGTCCCTTCACAATCCCACAAAACTCTGTTTAGACTTCGCCATGTCCTAAATTGCTAAAAGTCAGCACTCTCTTCCTGCTGCTTACTGTTTCACTTGAAGCTAAAATCTCTCCAGTGTCATCCATGT